AATTGTATCTGCAGCTAGATGACATCACAGGCGCTGATTTGGAAAATTCTCTGTACGCATTCGGCCAAACAGAAAAGAGATAGTTCAATGTTTAACAGATACAATTATACCTCGGCCCTTTGTTTGAAACATTTTGAGATATTGTGACTTGCACTGTTTCTATTAGTCACATTATTAGTATATTAAGTGTAAATAATTGATGCTTATAATTATTTGTTCATTGTATTTCGGAAACCACGATCTCCTTTTCAATAAAATCAATTTAAAAAAATAGTAATTGGTTAATTTCTATTGCTAGTTCAAAATCAGACTGCATACTTGACAGGTAACCCATGCTCTCGAGAAAAAGGCAGTCTTTGGTGCCACGAAAATTAAGCTGACATTCTCGCGCAGGTAGTGCTAAAAACAAGAACATGTAAGTATATGACGCAAAAATAGTCTGAAAGTTCTTTAAAATAGGTGGGTCCAGTATAGCAGAGGCTTCCGATGGTACGTCGCTTAGCACTGAAGAGGTTATGAAAAAGTGCTAAGGGCCTGATTACATGGCGAATTTCAGCCCGGCTTCTGAAACAAATTCTCATGAAATCAAATTGGCGATTACATGAAGAAGGATTCAGCCCGGGCTGAAAAGTCTGAAAAAATACCATGTAATCGAAATGGAATTTCGGCCGGGCTGAAAAGCAGGAAATAAGATGGCTGCCGCTACGACGTAGAAGCGATCTCAGTGGAATAAAGGCGATAAAATAGAGAATCTCTCTAATTTCAAAGCTTAAATGGAATATAAGAACATCGAGACAAGGTTAAACAGCACGAGGCTGTCAGGGAAGCCATGAACTCGACAAGCTTGAGGACATATTTTCTTTCTATGCAAGTACGTCTTTCTGGCTAAGAGACAGGTTTCGTTTCAGTTCCATCATCATTGTAGGGTGTTACTATCCTAAAAACTTAAAAACTGAGCACCAACAAAAGGTCAAACTACGCGAGAAGCAATGCGCCTATTTTCACGATTCGTGTTCTCGGCGCCATTTTGATTCTCTGGAGACTTTTTGCACACAATTTCATATTTGCCGCCGAGGCTAATATTTCAGCCCGGGATGAAATTCGTTATGTAATCGCAACAAAATTTCAGCCCCCTAGCCGGGCTGAAATTCGCCATGTAATCAGGCCCTAAGAAAGGGCACCTAAGGTGGAGCTTCCAGAGGCAATCAATCCGTGTCCAACTCGAACGATTCTTTAAAATACTTGTTAAGTATGATCTCGGGATCGTCAATCAACAAAGAAAGGGCCTTCAAACCCATGTTACGTTAACACCTCAGGCAGCTTTCTGACTACATGTAGTATGATGCTGTGAAAAACTTTGAACTGGCTTGGTTTTTGTCTTTCACTCTCTACCCCTTCCATTGATTAAGCCGTGCTGTATGTCAGCGAACGACCAGGAACTATGCCCTTTTGAGCCTTGAGCCCGCGGAGGGTCAGAGTTTTTTTTCAGCCAATTGGGAAGGTTTGCTTCAGAGCTAGTCAGAGTTACCTAGGACTGAGAATTATTACACTAAGGATCACCAGGTAACTACTATTCATATTGTGTTTTTTATTCACTGGTATTAGCTTTCCCACAACCCACCTGCCCACTTTGTGGAACCATGGCTGTTTTATTGCTCTTAGTAGCAGCGTTAAAAACTACAATTTGTTGTCTCATATATTTCGAACGGAGTCTGTGAAATATAATGAGAATTATACTAGGGCTGCGAAGCGGCCTGAAGTTATGATTCAAATTATATGAACAGATGAAGTGAGAAATATATGAGCTTCCCACCCTTCTTCCCTCCCTCCTATGG